CAGTGGTTCTAATAGGACAATAACTCTCAACAGGGAGAATGGCGTCAGTCTCATACTCTAAGAATGATATTTCTGTCCCCCGCAGACCCCTTTAACGACTGCTGAGTGTCTTTGAATCATGGCCATGTTGTGAGCATGTGCAGATCTCAGACGGGAGCTCTGATTGTTGTGGTTTCTCCCGCTCCGTCATGACGATCGTCTGTTCTCTGCCAGCGGCTCCTCCTGCAGGCTGAGAGCGAGGAGCTGCAGGCTGTGTGGGCTTTACGGGGTTAACCATCTGGATCGCTGCATTATTTAAACGCCGCGTATGTTGAGACAGGCCGGCTCTGAGCTCCGTCACACTTTAAACCACAGAGGTGCTCCCATTCTCTCAGTCCTGTCTGTCTGTTTTCACGTGTGTGACGGGAGAGGCCGGTCTGTCAGCGCTCCGTCAGGAGGGAAACCTCCTGCTGGGTTCAGAGCAGAGGAAGAACGACGATGTTAGAAGAGATAGAAACTTACAGTTTTGTATTTGAAGCAGGGATAATTCAGTGTTCTTGTCCAGGTTTGGTGCTCGTGCATCGTGCCCTTTTGACTCCACGCTTCCCACTCCCATCTGTCGGTGCTGCTTCTCGGAGAGTTCCCCGCTCAGTCCAGAGAAAGAAACAGTGCTCTCCTTTAACTGAGAATGAACGAGATCGAACACAAGCAGAGAAACGTCCCCAGGAGAATTTGGGGAGAATGATCGCACAGCTAGGGACAGACTTTTCAGTCACTCAGTCGTCAAAGGAAAACACGACATTTCTCATTGATGCCTGATATGATTTAGAATATACTTTAGTCCTTCTTCTCTCATGAAAGCCATGACCGGAGGCTTTATGTTTCTGGGTTGTCCCTCCGTCTGTCCTCGTCTTGTGAACATGATTTTTGGATGAGCAACCTGGCAGGAATATCCTCGGTGTTGTCGGCACAACACGGCCACCTTTCACTCAGATATTTATTAACAGTGATGAAGGGTGAGGGTCTCTCTGACTGCACGTGTGACCCCTTCATGTGAAGGTCACACCTCAGGAACACTACAAGTGTATTCCTCTAATTTGTAGTCAACAATATCTCATTACACTTAAAATAAACAACGTTCACCTGACAAGTCAAGACACAACTCTTAAGCTGTTTTCACACATGCACTCCTGAAAACTTTTTGATATTTTCAGGAGGACTGCTGCTGAAGGTGAGAAGGCAGACTCAGAGGGCAGAGGCAGACAGACTTTTCTCATCATTGGAGGGTTTGTAGACTAGGGACACATGTTAGAGTTAGAGAAACATGCTGAAGTGGATAATACAGAATATGTGATCTTTGAACTCAGTTGGATTGCTGTTTTGATACCACGGCAACAAAAAGAAGTCCTAGTTACTTCTTTGAGTCACCACAAATTGCAGGCGAACTCTTGCACGCGGTCTAAATTGCATAAATATGTTTGCACCATCAGGTACGGAAATGTTGTCAGTGTATCCCTTTAGTTTGGACCGAGCTCTCTCTCTTTTTCTCGTGCTGCAGCTTCTGGTTAAACAAGTTCTCACACACACACACACACACACACACACACACACACACACACACACACACACACACACACACACACACACACACACACACACACACACACACTCTTCACTGTAACTCTGTCTGCTGGATCGACTTTTCTTTTTCTCCGTCAGTAAACAAACAGACGATCACGTCTCTGGAAATAGCTCATGAATGAAATGTGATAACAGAGAAGAGATTCATCTTCACATAATGCTTTTCAAATCGATCTGATATAAAACATTTCAGAGCGGGAGGGTTTGATTCTCTCTCTGTAGACGAGGGCGAGAGCATATAAATGATTGAGAATACGCACATAAACGACATCACAATAAGAAAGCACATCAGTGTCTCCTGCACAGTTTAAGGCTTCACGCTCTGTCGGAGATATTTCATTCTGTTTTAATACATGACTTCTTTTCATTTCTGTGGGATGTTTCTGGATCGTTGAAGCTGTTCTGTTGCTCAAAGGAAGTTACATGAAGGACAAATATGAGAGTAACCGCTGAGACCATGAAAGAGAAAACATGGCCGGCGTGCTGTCAGAGAGGCTGTAATTACACACGGTCATAACTCATCCTGAAGCCCTGAGAGAGGAGGCGTTTCTTCATCTCTCCTCCTCCTGCTCCTCGTCATCGTCCTCATCCTCCTTTTTCTCTTCCTCCTCCTCCTGTTCCTTGTCCTCGTTGTTGTCCTCGTCCTTCTTCTCCTCTTATCGTATCCTGCAGCCTTGAGAAAGGAGGCGTTTCTCCATTTCTCCTCCTCCTCTCCTCCTCCTCCTCCTTCTCGTCCTCAGGCTCACAATGACTTAACTTTTACCTCCAGGGACTCTTTATTCTTAAATCAATACTAACTGCGGCCTGATTAGCCATAAAAACAGCTGATTAGACGGTAAAAGATGATATCCTCCCTCCTCTGTGTGCTGATGTTTTATGATGAAGAGCAAACACAAACCCTGATCCAAACTCGTCTCCTCAGCAGCTTTTCTACACGCGTGACGCTTAACATCAGAGGAAGAAGAAGGAACGAGTTCTGCTTTACCCTCCACTTACTTGTCAGTTTCTACCATCTCAGATATTAACGTACATTCATCTGTTTTCAGATGAATCAACACGAGAACATTTTCTGAGCTTTAACAAACGCCACAACCCAGTTTCTGTTTCCTGCTCTTAATGGTCATTTCATGAATTACAAGAGAAGGTTAATCACTCCCGATGTTTTAGGCATTAAAAACAAACATTCTTCAGTCTGATGAAAATGTCATCACAATGCTAACTTTAGTTGCATTGCTGGACTCAAAAAATCTGTCCATAGCTAACTCTTTAATATTCAAATTAAAGGAGGAGTCAGTAGAAATGTTTGTAAACACAACATTCAAACTGGGCCCCTCCTCCTCCCCAGTCTCCTCCAGAAGCTCGCCCTCACTGCAGGACCTAGTGTGTACGTTTACTGCTTGTAGCTACACTGCTAGCTAACGCACGCTAGCACAAGCTAACCGCCGATGTTTCTCCTCACTGTGATTGTATTTTCTCTTCTTTGCTGCTACGTCCACGTCCGTCATATTCACCGGTTTGAATCGTGTCCAATCGCTGATGGTATCCACTCCTAAACTCACCTGCTGCGCTGTCATTGGCTGGAGGAAACACACCAGCTCCGCCCAGAAACGTGCAGAGTCAACCAGAACAAACCAGAACATTAAAATCCAGTCAGAGGGGGGCGCTGGTGGCGCAGTAGTTAGTGCGCACACCCCATGTATGGAGGCTGTCGTCTCAAGCGGGCGGCCCGGGTTCACCTCCCACCTGTGGCCTCTTTCCCGCATGTCATTCCCCACTCTCTCTCTCCCTGATTTCCGACTCTATCCACTGTCATGTCTCTCCATTAAAGGCACAAAAAGCCTAAAAAGAAATCTTAAAAAGAAATTCCAGTCAGAGGACAGGATCTCTGCAGACCCGTCATACTGATTCGGGAAAAATGTACAGTATGCATCGGACTAGTCTACCTCACGTACTGTTTCCCACAATGCAAAGTGCCAGGTCAGACATCAAAATGCCGGAGCGCAGCTGTTTGAACTCATTGCTGGCAGTGACTGAATATCTTGCCACATTATGGGCATGAACCGATAACAAATATGACACGTTCATATATTTACATGTCTTACCACCTCAGATTTTCCTGCTTTTTAGACTGTACAGTGAATGTGCCACAGCTGGACAAGCAGCTACAGTTACAGGGTCCTTGGTTTGCTCTTCATATTATTCACAGCTGAGTAAAAGTTAAACCTGAATGTCTGAAAAGTATACTACAATTTTAATAGCATGCCAATCATATTTCAACCCAGGGCATTGTGTATAAATGACAGAATATATGAGAGATTTTAGACTTGTTTGATTTTAATTATGTTAATTTCCTCCAGATGGGCTGTTGTTTACTTCCGCATTCCAGGACCGGAAACCAGTTTCACCGTGCCAAGCATACTTCAAGATAACCGACGACTGGCAGTCATACTACATGCTACTGTTGAACTCAGTATGCAGTATACGGTATATACTGCATACTGATTTAGATAGTAGTATGTAGTACGCGGTTTCGAAAACAGCCACAGTCACCACCACACGTGTATGGAGGCCCAGAAGGGACGATGGAACAGCTTCACTTTAGGAGAAGTCTGTATTTTATTTTGAAGGAAAAAGATACTGACTCTACCTGAAAGTCAAGGCTTTGAATCATTGTTCAAAACTCTGCTGCAAACTGAAACAACAAAGATGTAAAATGACTCTTCCTGGTAAGTGACTTATTGAACAGATAGAGACGCTCGTGATAGTCAGGAAGAAAATTGTTGAGCATGCATCACTTTTAGCAGCTCTTATTCCAGCTGTATTCCAGTGATTGAACATTTGGATGGGGTTTGTTTGCAGAGGCTAGAACTAACTTGTTGTTCTGGATCTGTTGGACTGAAGCAGACTGTGGCTGAGCTCAGCCGGTCTCTGCAGAGTCTCAGACTTCGTCTCCTCCGTGTGTTAAACGGCCTCAGCGTGTCGTTTTCCTGATAATCAGCTGCAGATGTTCAGAGCTCCTCAGCTGTACGATGTACGAGCTCACACTCTGACTGCAGAGAGAAACGCTCCTCGTGTGGAGGACGTGCTGCAGCTCGGCCTGTGATGATGATGATGTCATTGGCTGCTGGTTGTGAAATCTTTTGAGGAAATGAGAACCTCTTTGAACCCGAGCTGAGGGAAGAGTGTTTCTGCTGCATCTGCTGTGCAGCCTGCTCCTCAGCGGTCCAGTTTCATCTGCTTTAATCTGCGCCAGTGATTGAAATGTTCACAGACCTCTGAGGGAAACATCTTTGTCCTTGAATCTGGTGCTGACGTTGAAAATGTAAATTTGTGGTTATTGACACTTATTCATGTTGTCATTCCTGTTTCTGTTTCCACAGAGGACAGCGTCTCTGAGTCAGCTCCCCGTCGAGGACCTCAAAGACCCCCTCCCTCCTCAGTGGAGATGCTTCATGTCGCCACAAGGGCGGCGATACTACGTCAACACCATTAACAACGGTAAGAGTAAATAAAGAAATATAGAACTCAAAATGTATCATTTATGAGCTTTACACATTTTTATACAACTTCTGAGACTACTGAGATGTTTCTGTATCCATGATTATCTTAAAGGTGAAAGTTTTAGGAGCTCGCTTTCCTTCCTCTACACTAAGGGAGACACTTAGTAACAACCCCAGAGCTGTCTGATTTACATTATTAGAAACAAACGCTTACACTGTGTTCACTCCAAGAGCAAAAAAATATCTTAAAGGTCACATATTCTCCTCCTTTTCAACAAGTTTAAATAAGTCTCAGAGCTCCCAAAACATGTCTGAAGTTTCTAGAATTGGGTAGCAGCAGGATGTGGTTGGTTTCTAGTAATGCTAGCTAGCTTTCGAGAATGGAGGAGGATAACCATAATGTACCACAACAACCTCTCACACACCACCAGCCGCCCTGACAACTTCCTGTCTGCAGGATTGTTCCAACCTGAATGCAAAGTGTTTTGAAGAGTGTCTGCTGCCGTTATGGTCAATTAGCCATACACTTGTAGCTGCTAGCTTTGCAGCTAGCTTGGGACCTTGTAGATTATTCCCCAAGAAAATCGGCTTCAATCATTGGCAATAACTTTGACACTTATTGTTTAAAATGGGTACTGCAGTCTTAATTCTTAAAATTAGAGAGAGCTGTCTCCCCCCGCCCCCTCCTCTCTAGTCGATGCTCACTCAGGTTGCCATGTGGTGGACACTGAAGCGTCAGTGTTTATCCAGCTCTGCATTGGTCTGTAAACCTTTCTGCGTTCTAACCTCTCTCCATTTTTCAAAAGCATCTCCAATATTGATCCTAGTTTGAGCACGTTTCTGCTTGTGGAGCTTATTAGAAACATGCAGAGGCTTTTTAGGTCGGGTACAATCACTTCTATCTGAACCAGTTCTCTTGCCCGCTTCCATCGCTGCAACACCTGTTGACCTGATAACTGGTCTCATATCTGGCAAACCGAGGGGCATCCAAAACGGCCGAGTGGGGGTGTCTAAAAACCGCCTACTTTCTCTGGTCCAAACAAATCCAGACCCTTCAGGACCAGAATCTAAAGTTAGAAGGAGGACATACTGGCTGCTGCATTGTTGTCAGAGAAGCCAGCACTTCAACATAGCATGTTTCTTAATGTCTGATCATATAGAAACTTTATAATTTCACTCACTACACATCTCACTGATTGGACCTTTAAAACTATTGTTCTCTGGTAGATTGTTAAGAAAGTTTTTCTCAGTGGTTTGAGTCACCAGCAGTCCCGTTCGTTGAGGAACTCAAAGTTTCTTGTGTTCACTTTGAGTAAAGTGGAATCACTGGTGACAGAAACATGATTTCATAAAGAATTAAAAGATGATGGAACAAACGACAGAATGAGTTGGAATAAATATAATTGTTGGTGCAGCCCCGTGAGGCTGAGATACAACACATGAAATGTTTTCAACGAGAAGTCAACATGTGGGGCGCCGGTACCCTGGTGATGAGTGCGGAGGCTGTAGTCCTCAAAGCAGGCGGCCCAGATTCAAATCTTACCTGCGGCTCCTGTCCCACATCATCAGTCCCCACTCTCTCTCTCTCTCTCTGGTTTCTGACTCTATCATCTGTCCTGTCTCCACAAGGAAGGCACAAAAATAAATCCTTGGACACATTTTGCTTTAATGGTTGTCTTCTCAGGACTCTGGCACACTTTGGTTTGAAGATAAAGTGAGATTTAAAAATGTCCCATCCTGGATCCTGTATCTATCTTTAAAAACGAGATTTCTGGTCAGTGATGGAGTTCAACCGTTTTTCAGCAGCGTTGATGGTACCAGAGAGAGAGAGACAGAGGGCGACCGAGAGCTGATGCTGCTGATAGAAACATGTTGACTGTCATCACAATCGCTGCTCAGTGTGACACTCTGTGATACGGCCTCTGTTCTGCAGCCTGTTGACTGTCCCTGTGTGACCTCGGTGCAAACCTGATGGGCATAGGCGGATCGCCACATGGGCAAAGTGGGCATTTGTCCAGGGCCTAGCAAGAACCCAGGGCCCAGGCGAATGGGGGTCTGGTCTTTATTGTTATACATTTTTTTTAAAGTTTTTTTGCTTTAAAATATTGAATTAAATATTCTGAGCCTACTTGCTGTTCCTGGTTATGTCTGGTGTTTTGTCTGTTGGTTCATTCATTGGGTATTAATCTTAAAGTGAGTTTACCTCGAGGTTTCAGAGTGTCTGCAGCTTCTGATTCGAGCCGTTTCACATCGTCTTCATCTCTGGTCGTGGGCTCAGTGGTCACATCGTGGCCGTGAGGGGATCTAGAATAAGACGAGGACTCCACCCAGCCACGAGCTTGGGGAGAGTCGGTCCTCCTTTTCCTCCTTTTCCTATATTTAGATCACATACGATATTAGAAATCATGCTGAAGCTCTTCCTCCTGTGAACATTAAAAACATTTTCTTCGTCCCTGAAGATTATCTCTTGTTGTAGAAATGAACAGATTGTAGAGGTTGTCGGGATTGGAGAATTGTTGTTTTTTTGCATTTTTCCTTGGAGATAAAATGTTCCACAACTTTTTGCTTGTGAAAACAAAACTCGTGACTCATGAAGAGAGCAGAGTCGTTTCTGTGTGGTGGTGAAGCCAAGGTGACAGAAAACCTGCAGGTTAATAAACATGTTTTCTGTTTCTGCTGTTTTGATATGACACACACACACACACACACACACACACACACACACACACACACACACACACCCTCTGTCTCAAACAGCTGATAACATTTTTCTGTATTTTTAGCGCCTCTTTTGTTTCTCTAAAGTTCAGTTAGATGAGATATGATGCTTTGTGCGTGTGTGCGTTTGTGTTTCAGTGTCACCATAGTAACAGAGCAGTGTGTGTGTGTGTGTGTGTGTGTGTGTGTGTGTGTGTGTGTGTGTGTGGGCGGGAGCTGTGTGCCCTTGTGTTTTCCTTCCTGTGTTGCTGGGTGCAGCCGTGCTGGGTGCTGTGGTTTAAACCAGACTCTCCAACACTCATGTCTGACCAGTGGGACACACACACACACACACACACACACACACACACACACACACACACACACACACACACACACACACACACACACACACACACACACACACACACACACACACAGAGAGACACTCCCTCTATCTGCTCTGTCCCAAGGTCTAATTCTCAAAGCATATACAGAAGCCCTGATGATTTCCAGAAAGTGTTGGTGCTCGGTTCAGTTACTTTTTCTTCAGTGTGTTTAGTGAATGTGGAGAGAAACTATCAGCACCTTTACTCTGCACGGAGCTGCACTCTCACGCTGAACAGGCTGGAAAGTTTGAGCGTCACATCTCTCATGAATACTGCGACGCAGTTACCACCAACTCACAGCAGACGCTCATTTTAACACTATAACTGTGCGTGGCTGTTAGCGCCCCCTGTTGGTGAATAAAACTGGGTTTTTAATGACGCTCATTTGCATAGAAAGGGGGAGATAAATCATTGAAACACAAACAGCACTGGTTCAAAGAAACGCTGTCCGCTCTGCAGCGCGGTTAGAGGAACATTAAACCCTTTGTGTGTTTTGTGAATTAGATGGTCTCCTCTTGACTCTGTAGGAGGTGAAGCGATGGCAAAGGCAGTGCAATCCTCAAATCAGGCCCTCTGTGTTTCTCTCTGAAGAAATATGATGAAATGTTTTGATGGTTTCTCAAATTCAGCGTTGTGTTTCTGTAACAGAACCTGACTGCTCTGTTTTTACAGTTTTCACAGTTTTTATTCTTAAATAACAGAATGCCGTCCTTCCTTGGCTTGTGAGCAGAGGTTTTGTTTACACTGTGTTGCCGTGACGATGTGGGCTCCGCTGTGGGCTCCGCTGTCAGTCAAACAGCAGCCCGCCCACTCTGACTCTTAGTGCTGTCTTTTTCCTGAACAGATTCAGTTTCTCTTCTGCTTTTTTTTTTTTCCAGTTTGTGTTCTCTGAGAGGAAACCCCCTGCAGCTTCCTCTGTGAACGAGCTGTGGAGGATTAAAAAACCAGACAGACTTGAGGCAGAGAATGCATCATGAACCAGTGTCATATGGTTATGAATTAAATATCACAGTGTCACACATAACTAGGCCAAACCTGCTCGTCTCTGTGCACAATCGGGATTCATTCAGTCACTCAAATCAGTCTGAAGCGAGCAGAAAGAAAAATGTGGTGAATCAGAGAAGCTTCCATTCAGGTTTTTATCCTCAAGCAGCTCGACTCATTACTTCTGACGAACATTCAAATCATGAAGTCACATCATTCAGATCCATGAATAAGACAGATTCATGCTCCACAGAAGCTACAGAGGATGAATGGATGTGGTTTTATATCACAAAAAAAGATGGAGGCAGTTTAAGATGAGGAAAAACCTTTTAGACTTTATCTCGACTGTGAAGAGACGTCTAACGAGAATCTGTCTCTGCAGGTTTGAATCTGACAGGTGTGTATACGCTCTGATCTCTCACCTGGTAGAAAACCTCATAAATCTGCATTTAAAGAGTCAGTAACCTGGAGGCTGAACATTATCAGGTGTCACATGTCGGAGTGAATATGTGGCTTTAAACACCTCGTACAAACATAACAGATCTGAGCCTTGATGTTAGAACGACCAGAAAGGCGCCGCCTGAGGATCTTAAGGCCCTGACACACCAAGGAGATTGTCGGCCGTCTAAAAAAGTGTAGCAGTTTGTCAGGACTCTTAAAACCCGCCTCAGCTCCAGCTCTCAGCCTGTCGTTAGGTTGACTGAAAGTTAGGCTGAGACAGCATTTCCAGCATGGAGACGCCACCAATGGGACTCCAGCGCCCCCTGCAGGAACAGACGGGTGACGCCACTCAGGCTTCGTCCGTTAATATTTACAGTCTGTGAGTTCTCCTGAGAAGAAAAGATCAGAGAATCCCCACGTTGCTCCCGCTGCCTCATCAGCAGCGTATGAATGGATGAGTTGATACTGATGGACTCTTTACAGCAGCCTCTACCATCAGCGTGTGAATGTGTACTTTAGGTGTGACCATTTATTTTAAACATTTAGTGTGTTTGTGTTCTTCTTCTTTGATTGACACGCTCTATTCAAACTTAAATTTTTTGATTGATGGAACAAACTTTTTTAAACGCGACAAATATTTGCACATTGTTTGTTTGTTACATAACTCTTTAAAACTGAATCTGAGATCAAATTTATGACGGCGAGAGCTTTCATTCTTCTTGCAGCACAAAGTAAAGAGTCTTTGTTTTGATCTTTTATTTGTTCTTTGATTGATGCGTTCATTATGGGAAGTTTCATTTGGTGTTAAACGCGCTGACATCGTGTGGGTGTGCCACAAATTCACTGGTACTGTTTTTTTATGCTCTCTTAAAGCAACAATCTGTAACTCCTCTTCCTCTTTCAAACAGTTTAAAGTCGCTCAAACAGGACAATAACCTCCAACAGGGAGAATGGCCGGTTAGCCCGTCTCTGTACTGTTTGATACTGCGGCTGAGGCTAAGAGGAAGAGGGCGGAGACGGATGAAGATAAGAAGAGAGAGAGGAGCAGAGTGTTCATCCCTGCAGATGTTATTCATAACAGACTGAGACGTAACGTTAGCTTGTAACGTTAGCTTGTATCGTTAGCGGTGTCATCATTGTCTCATGTTTAGCAGCTTTATCAGCTGCAGGAAGTCCTCTAACCTGAGTTATGTCTCAGATTTGATACAAAGAACTCAATTAATCCATCTGACATCAAAAAGTCGTTTCTTTCTGTGCCAAGCTTCAAGTTAGCGTTATAACATTTTTGGAACCTTTCAAACTGATCTCAACTAGCATGTAGTAAATGAGCCTCTCCAATAAAGACATTTAGCCACAGACTATAGTCGTCACAGTTGATTACACATACACATGCTAACAGTTAGCTAACAATGGGCTGTAGACGCTAATAGAGTCAGATTTGATCTAAATCCTGTAACAATGCTAAACCTCATCAGTCGGTTCATTAGCTTCTCTCTCGTCTTTGCCGTCTTCTCCACCCTCTGACTGTCGACAAACGCAGGATGTTGATGAGGGGGAGGAGTTCAGGAAAAATACAGTACTAGGTAGTAGGTCTTCTCAGTTTCTTTTCTTTATACTTCTACCTGCACTCAGAGACCCTTGGATGGCGCCTTCAATAACCACAAAGTTTGTTTTATTTTTTATTTTTTTATTTATTTTTTGGGCTTTTTCGTGCCTTTAATTCAGAGAGAGGACAGTGGATAGAGTCGGAAACCAGGGAGAGAGAGTGGGGAATGACCACCAGCGCGCCCCAATAACCACAACGTTTATTCAGTTCAGAGACTTTATGTACCTCACAGGTGGAAGCACATACTACAGCATAACGCTCAGACGGGCATGTGCCACCCCAGTTCTGACGCCTCTGTTGCAGAGTTTTAGAGTGTAGAGGACGTTAAACTGAAATAATGTTGACGAGCGAGCTGTGTTTGTTGTTTCAGTCGTTTCAGTCGATCGTTCTGGTCCTTTGTCACAATAACAAACATCTTACCCCGGCTAAGCACATTACATTCTGTTTTTCTGCATTAAAATCTTGTGTTTCTCACATTATTGATTTGTTTATGGCATGCTAACTCAGAGAAATGGAGGCGTTCAGGGACACTCGGTAAAGTGTTTTACATCGAACAGAAAGCCAGAGTTCTCCTCTCCATGCGTGTCATCTGAGCCGATGCTTTGGCTCGCTTTTCTCCTGCTTTAGAGCGAGCCAAGCGGAGCCTAGCGAGCCAAACGGAGCCAAACGAAATAAAAGCTCTGAACATGTCCGTGCCTCGTCTCTCGGTGCTGACAGTGAAGAGCTAATTGAGTGGAGAAAAGAATCCAAACCGGCCTTTATTAGTGTCTGTCATCTGATTGTTTCCATGTTCTCCAACATCTGCAGCAGCTGGAGTCAAATCAGGACGATGAAAGACGAGAATCAGAGACTATGAGCCTGTTTGATGGGTTAAATGTGTTTCTCTTATTTGGGTTAGAGCGGTTTTTATTGTCATATCTGAAAAAGAGATCAAACGAGAGATAAAGAACTGGATTTGTATTCATTGACTTAACATGTCTGAGGTGAAGAGATGCTCAGCAAAGATTCTGAGGACATTTTTCTGACATAAGCTCCTCTTACTTCATGATTTGTTTGCACATTTCAGCCTGTGACCTTCAGGATCAGGATTTAAAGACAGAGATGTCTTCAAATTAATATATCACCATCAATAACAACATCAACTGCTGTTTTTGAGAGTTCTAATCAGCATCAAAATCATCCTAAATATCATTGTCATCATCATCATCATGAAGGTCGTAGGTGTTCATAAAGAGCTAGGTCTTTAGCTTTCTCTTAAAGGTGCAAAGGGACTCTACAGATCGGATGGAGTTTGGAATTTCGTTCCACCACCGGGGGGGCGACAGAGGAGAAGAGTCTGGTTAGAGATTTAGGACCCTGTTGTGAAGGTTGGATCAGAGGCCTTTCATTGGCAGAGTGTATTGGGCGGGAGGGAGTGTAGACCTGGATGAGAGAGTTAAAGTAAGGACGAGACGTTTGCGTTTTGCTGTTTTGTAAGCGAGCAGCAGAGTTTTAAATTAGATGAGAGCAGTAACTGGGAGCCCGTGGCCTTTATGTATCGTTGGGGTGCGCTAGGCACCAGGCAAAGATGCAGGGCCTAACCTTAAACCTAATCCTGAACCTGAACCTTACAGAGGAGTTCTGTGTGACCGTTAAGAGTCATCACCGTCTTTCTGAAACCAGACGACTGTGTTTCCTTGGTTGTTGTTGTTGTAGTTTGGGCTAACATTGAGTTGTAGTTACTTAAATATTGACTCACATGGTTCACAACAAACATTAAGGTCCAAGAATCTGCTGCAAGTTTGGAAATGACTGCATAAAAAAAACATGTTTAACTGCTGACTCAGCTAAATGAATCAAAATCACTTCTTATTGATGCTAAAAAATACTGGAAAGAACAATTGTAAAGCTATTCCTGCAGTTCTAATGTCGTTTTTTCTTTTTATGTTCCTGAATGCTCCTCAGAGACGACGTGGGAGAGACCGTCCAGCACACCTGGGACCCCGAAGACACCCCACAGACACAAGAACTCCCTCCCCGCAGGTAAAAAACAACTCTCTCTCTCTCTCTGCATCACTTTCTGTCCCTCGTGATTCAGCGCCCCGAGGCTTTGAATTCTCCTTAAATTCCTCAGAGGCACAAAGCGGCCGCTCATGAGCACCAAACAGACACTTCCTGTGACTAATTTTATCTGAAGGCTCGAAACGCAGAACTGAGACTCCTCTGTCCTCATCTTGGCTCGCCTCTAAAGGAGGAGAAACCGAGCCAGGACGGTTTGTGACATGTTTCCTGCTCGGCTCAAAGCTGGGAGCAGACCCTCACTCACTGAAAGCTAGGAGCAGACCCTTACTCACCGTGTGCTCCCAGCACTAATATGTGTCCCTAGTCCGTCTCTTTTATTTAAGGGTTAAAATTATAACATGTTATGTTTGAAATATTCCACTTACAAGAAGTCCATCCTCTCCGTCTTTTGCCTGCTCCACTTTTTAGAAAATGTGTGCTCAAACAGGCCGTTTTGAGATTTTCCCTTCATGACATCACAAAGGGCAGTAACCCCTCCCACAGGTGGATGACACTCCCACAGCTAGGTGTTTGTTCTGCCCTCTGAGTCTGCCTTCTCACCGTAAACAATAGGGCATGGAGCGAGAAAGCCAGAGACACCTAAACCAAGGAACAAGGAACTTCACACACATGTTTTGGGGAGCTCTGGGTCTTGTGCAACAAACTTTTTCACAGTGAAAAGTCTTTGATCTTCCATGCATTTTATTAACTGTGCAACATAAAGTGTTTTTACATGAATGCATGTTCTGCTTTGAGAATGTGGATGTCTGAATGTCAGGACATTTTCTCCTATGTTTGTTCCTTTTGATTTCTAATCTATGAAGACAGTTTTGCCTAAAAAGAAGAAAAACATAGAAGAAAATGTTGACAGTAAAAAAGCTGTGAATTCAATAACATGTATCATAGATGTAGAAACTGTTCAGTGGTGCTCAGTTGGACTCATCATCAGCACGAGTCTGCAGCTCCTCTGCAGACACAATAACAGTTAAAAAAAAGTATTTCTTCCCCTCCCTTCTGATCTCTCTCTCTCTCTCGTTCGTCCTCAGTGAATGGATTTCACTCAGGTGGGAGTCCATTGCATCATGTGGAGAATTCACACAACAGTCAGGTGAGGAAGGGCAGCACAGCGGAGCCACAGGTGAGACCGTCTGGCCATCTGACTGTTTTTATTCTTCCCCAACAACATGAAACACAGAACAGGCTTTTAAAAAAGTGTTAAGTCATCATAAAGTTACTCAAGGTTCTTGATGATGATGAGCTGTAGTTTAAAACATAAAAGCTTGGATAGCTGCTGCAGACGTTACAGTCTGTTTATATGCCTTGCTGTGGGTTGGGTGCCTTGCTCAAGGGCACCTTGGCAGTGCTCAGGAGGTGGACTGGCACCTCTCCAGCTACAAGGCCAGTTTCTGGGACTTGAACCGGCCACCCTCCGATTCCCAACCTGTTTACATGCTGCAGGTTCACTTTAAACAAATAAATCACAGCCTTCAATATTGTCACATCTTTTAAGAGTCTTAAAAAATTATTAACGACAAAAGATGTTTACTTTTCACATCTCCAATGAGCAAACCCCACGCTCGCTCGCTCTCTCATTATTAAAGGGGAGGCAGAAAGTAGTTAAAGCAGATTAATCCCTCCCACAGTATATCTGTTCCCCTGATCATAATTAAGCAGCAGTCAGGGCGCAGTAACACACCATCCACCCACCACTTATCCTCATTTCTCCCCTTTACTGCAGCTGTAGTGCACACAAACACAGTATAAACAAGTTTACTGCTGAGGACTCTTTTCTTCTCTATCAGAGTGTTTCTGTGCAGGAGGGCCACTTTCAGACTCCTTATACTTTTTGTATCACTCTTTATTTGTACCTTTTCCTAATTTCTGCCCCCTCCATAAACTGCCACACACTGGAGTTACTTTGTTATAAGCCAAAGAGTTGGAAGTTTTATGCACAAACACAGAGAGAGAGAGAGAGAGAGAGAGAGAGAGAGAGAGAGAGAGAGAGAGAGCAAGCCATGCACTCCCTCGCTCTGCAGAACAATCCTCCATACTCTGCACAGCAACACACATGCACACAAACACACACACTCCCACAAAACACACCACCAGCAGTAGCAGCAGCAGCAGCAGAACCAGAGAGATCAGCACACAGACGCTCTCTGACGCTCACATCGCTCGCTGGGAAAACAACTGTGTGTGCGCCACTGTGTGTGTTTGAGTGTGTGTGTGTGTGGAGCAGTCATGTCTGACACGGAGGACGGAGGTTTTGACGGAGCGTCCTTCTTTTGCCCGCAGAGTCCAGGATCAACGTCGCCCACCAGGAAGCAGAACAAGGAGACCACGGTCACGGTGAGTGCAGCAACTAACTGCAACTCTTAACTAACTGTGAACTCAGTGCACTCGCTACGGGAGCCCGGAGGACCAGATTTAACACCACCAGAGGGAACTTTAATGTTTTCATCGATGAGATTAGAAAGATGATTAAGGAAAAAGCATTTTCCAGGAGTGACCAGGTGGGATTTGTCTTCCGGATGCATGTTTGATGCATCCGTCGTGGGCCTCAAATCTTTGAGGCTAAATCTCAACAAAATGTGTTTATTTTTGTATTGTATTTTTTTTGTATTTTTTTAACTCAGAAGTTAAGCTTTACATATTTGGACAACATAAAACAAATTATTTTCTAGAATTGAGATATGAAAGGTTGTATTTTCTCTACATGTCCTATAAATCTGAAATGTGAAAGAAGTGCAGGCTGCTTGTTTTTTGCTGTTACACAGAAACAGTGACATCATCCCCTCCAGCTTCCACATGAGTTCTGTTGTCAGGTCGTCGCTTCCTGTCGGCTCTCAGTTAACAGCTGCTCAGTGTCTCTCTGACTTTTTTTTCCATACTGTAAATGTAAAACCACAAGCTTGATCTCTGCTTCCATGGCAACCAGAGTGATGCTGTCGTTAAGCACGATGTTATTCCAGTAAATAATGAAAAACATGAGAGAGGTGAGGAAAGTTATCTGATATGTTACGCTTCAGGTTAAAACCTAAAAGCGTACGATACGAGACGTGACAAAGCTTCACCTTCTACTTTTTATAAATCATGTTATAATTCCAGCAAACTTAAAGGCAGGGTGGGCAATTTTCTAAAACTAGCATGATTTTGAAAGTAGCATTCCCTCAGTGCTCCGTCTGCACCCGCCCCTCCCCTCTGTGCTCCCTCATAAGCCACGCCCCCTCACTGACATGCACGAGCACCACTGGTCCAGAAGCGGACCTCAGCTCACGCTTTGAGTGTGGGCTCGTGCAGCATGGGGTAGAGAACGAGCAGGGAGACAGGGAGGCGTGTGATTGGTTCATCAGATTGGTACCTCGTGGCAGACATTGGTCAAAGTTTTTACAGGCTAACAACTGCTACAGATGACGGATTTTCTTCGTTCCTTTTTCAGAGCACGAGTTATTAATTTCTGTCAAGCCCTAGACAATTTACCAACATCTGAAAAAGTGTATCTGGAGGAAATGACCAACTCGATGAAGTAATCGAGTGAAGCCTCTGTGTAACTTATTATTGACAGTCACAAGGAACAGATAAACGGGGTCTCCTCAGGGGGATTAGTGAACCTATAAATTTCGAGTTTATATTGGAGACATATCAGGAGAGGAACATTTTTCTCCACTTTTGAGCTGAACACTCGGTCGCATCTCATGTTGCTGATGGGACTGTAAACCCCGCCGCGCACAGAGAAGGAAGTCTGGGCTGGAAGTTATTAAACGTCTCTAACTGTTGGCTAAATGAAGTTCACCTCTCTCTCCCAGAGGATCTATAGACGATGGTTTCTTAGATTGCAACAACAGTAAAACTCTGTCGTTATGAGTGTTACCAGAGATCAGGAGGGAAAGTACAGGCTGTGTGTGTGTGAGTGTGTGTGTGTGTGTGTGTGTGTGTGTGTGTGTGTGTGTGTGTGTGTGTGTGTGTGTGTGTGTGTGTGTGTGTGTGTGTGTGTGTGTGTGTGTGTGTGTGTGTGACTGTTAAAGGAGCCTTGAGGGATTGTGGGTAAGTTAAAAGCTCTGTTAGCTGTCAGTCTCTGGACCTCAGCAGTGATTAAACAGATTCCACTTCCTCAAAAAAATTACCAGTTTCATAATCCAGGATACGGTTGAGTTGGAGGTACTTTCCTTCTTTGTGAATTTCTCTCTGAACAGCTCTGAGAAAGTCGCCAGCTGAACCGTATG